GTCCACATGTGCCAGACTGCAGAACGGCATCGTGGGCTGTGGAGTGACTGCTGGTGGCTGCAGTAAGTGGCCAACTCCAGGCTGGACAAAGCACAGTTGGGGAGAGTGGTCTGTGCCAACTGCTCCGGACTGGCTTCTTGCTCACCTGAGCCGGTGGCAGGTCTTGTATCTAGCAGATCCAGGAAAACGGGGTTATAAAGAAGGAACCCGGGGTTGGAGAGATGGCTCAGAGGTTAAGAGCACAGACTGCTCTTCCAGAGGTCCTGAGTTCAATTCCCAGCAACCACATGGTGCTTTACAACCATCTGTAATGAGATCTGGTGCTGCCTTCTGGCCTGCAGTCATACATGCTGTATACGTAATAAATAAGTAAATTTTTTAAAAAATCCTTAAAAAATTAAAAAAAAAAAAGGAGCCTGTATCAGGAGGAACAGTGAATGAAGGGGCTGTCAGTGACATATTTCCTCCAACAAGGCCATACCCACTCCAACAAAGCCACACTTTTTAATAGTGCCACTCCCTATGAGATTATGGGGCTATTACATTCAAACTACCATACTTGGTATCAGCTGGGAAGCAACTGGCACCTTTAAAAAAAAGGGAGAGGGGAAACCCTGATGAGGAGTATGGTGGTATTTTATTTGTGCTGAAATGTGATTTTATTTGTATGTTAATAAATAAAGTTACCTGGGGTCAGAGCTAATAGCAAGTCATTTAGCAGATGGTAGCACACGCCCTTAATCCTGATCATATGACAGGTAGATCTCTGTGTGTTCAAGGACACAGCCAGCATGGAGATACACGCCTTTAATCTCAATACCAACCACAGAGACCTGGAGGTCTGTATAGACAGGCAGTGACGAGGAAGTCATGTGGTTGGGTTTAGAACCAATGAGAAGGCAGGACAGAAAGGCAATAAGAAGACAGGTCACACAGGAGAAGGTCTCTCTCTCAGGGGAAGGACGGCAGTGGCAGTGAGTGATAAGGTGGTCTTAGCTCTTGGCTACTGCTCTCTGACCTCTGGGCTTTTAACTCTGCATTTGGCTCTGTGTTTCTTATTTAATAAGACCGTTTAGAATTACATCTACAGAGGAGGCCATGAGAAGCTGCAGCACACAGACCTAAGGTGGCCAGCAAACAGGGGAGGCCCAGATGAGTAACACCAAGGCTTGCCAGGAACCCACCAGGAGTAGAGGGTGGCCCAGCCACACACAGCCTTACCCTTTAGCCCCCTGAACTCGTATACTGTGTGTTTATGTGAAGTGGCACTTTCAGCACTGACCATTATAAAATCAAAATGTTTGACCAAAAAAAAAAATTTTTTTTTGAGCTGAGGATCAAACCCAGGGCCTTGCGCTTGCTAGGCAAGCGCTCTACCACTGAGCTAAATCCTCAACCCCTAAAAAAATTTTTTTAACTCTAAAAAAATATTGAATATTCAGCTAAGATTTCCTTCTTTTTTATTTTAATTTTATGTGTATGTGTGTTTAACCTGCATGTATGGGTACCATGCATATGCCTGGTGCCCACAGAGGTTAGAAGAAGGTGTCAGATACCCTGAACCAGTGTTACAGATGGTTGTGAGCTGCCATGTGTGCTGGGAACCAAACCTGGGTCCTCTGGAAGAGCAGCCAGTGCTCTTAACCACTGGGCCATCCCTTCTGCCCCTAAAGGATTCTCTTGACTGGGCTGAGATGGGAATACCCACTCTAAGCGTGGCAGGCACCATGCTACGGGTTGGGGTCCTAGACCGAATAAAAAGGAGAAAGCACACTGAACCCCGTGTTCGTCTCTTTTTGCCTCTCTTGTGGATGCGGTGTAAGCTGCTGCCTCAAGCCCCTGCCACCATGCTTTTCCACCAGGATGGACCAGACCTTCACCTGTGAGCCAGATAAAACGTTCCCCCTTAAGTTGTGGGTATCTGGTATTTATCACAACAATAGGGAAAAGAACTAAGGCAGTCAGAGACTTGGCCTAGCCACACGAGACAGAACAAGGGAAGGAAGGATGCCCTGTGAGCCCTGAGCTGGGAGTCCCCACACAGATGACCCCAAGGGTGAGGCTTCTCAGTTTTAAAGTGGCTTCCAGCTGACAGGCTGTCTCATGGGGACAATTCAGAGGCTTAATGGATGCCACAGTCTGAGAGGCTCAAGGCCTGCTGAAGCCCCTTCAGCAGAGCATTCTGTGTTCTCTCTCTGTGCCCTCTTCGTGTGCCCTGTGAGTAACAATGCCCCCAGATGTGGGCCCCAAGGTCTGCAGCCCCAAGCTGCCTGCCCACCATCCCCACCACCCCCAGGCTATTGTCTGCTAGGCCTGTGGTGTGCGCTGGGCTGCAGGGGCCCTGTGAGCCAGGGCACTGGGAAGGGATTAGAGGTCCTGCGCTCCTTGCTTTGCCCTCTTGCACAAGGGTTGGATCAAAGACATTCCTGGGATGACAGCCCTGAGCAAGAGAGGCCAGCTCAGCTCAGCCAAGGGCACTGCATCCCATCAGTACTGTGCTGTGCCCATGTGTGGTCCTTGTACACAAGCCTGTCCACCTCATGTTAACCAGCCTGTGCACCCCACACCGGACACACATAGGCTGTCACATCAGACCAAGTACAGGTTTGCCTGGCCAGCACACCTGGTAGTGCCAGCTCCCAACACTGGCCTTGTGTGGCCTGCACAGCCGTGCTGCCAAACACAGAGGCCAGGTCCAGTCCTGTAGAGCCTGAGAGGCGTTGTCTGCCCCCTGGGCCATCATGGCAAGGGCTCTGGGCACTGCCTGGAGGACACCCAGTCCCACTCCTCTGCCTTGTGTCTCATCCTAGGAGTCCTCAGCCCCCACTGCTGGCATTTTGTGGGCCCCCCGGAGCCCAGATACTCTGTAGGGTCAGTGAAGTTGGCTTGCTTTCTAAACAAAGTGTAGCAGTTGGGCTGGCCTGTGAGTCATAGGCTAACTTCCTTACACTTAGTCCTAGGATGTGGAGGCAGGAGGAGAGGCCATAGTCATTTGTGTAATGTGATGTGCAGAAGCTTCACAGAGGCCACACTCACTTTGAGCCCTCTAGGACAAGCAGAAATGAAGGTCCAGGCAGGTCCAGGCCGTGAAGTAACCTAGAATGGAGAGCCAGGGGCAGTCGTCAGTGTTCAGGGAGCTCGAGGCGCACAGAGGCCAGGCAGGTTCAAGACCTTGGCCTCCCCGAGAGGGGTGGGATGGCTCAGCAGGCTGGTAGGAAGCTTGGCAGAGAATGGAGAGAACGGACTTGGGCTTCTGAGAAGACAGTTGGGTGGGCTAGCTCCCTGAGTCTTTGTTTCGGAGAGTCCTCAAAGAATGTTGTACCATCACCGGATGAACAGGAGTGTGTACACATTCTCCCCAGGGGATCTACCCTCCAGTGTTATCAGTACAATTTGAGGGTTAGAGTCAGAGCCTGGAGTGGCCAATGCTATCTGGGGTTACACTGCTGAGCCAAGCAAAGAGGCTTGGACGTCAGCCATAGCTGGGCGCCACAGACCACTGGATGAAGAGACCAGCCAATTGCACCTTTAGAGACCTCATCATGGTGTGAACACTCTGCATTCGATGGTGATGCTTGACCACTCCAATTGGGTGTCCTTCCATGACCACCCTTGATAGGCAGTGGTGGGAAGCAGAAGTCTGCCTTCCTGAGTGTGTATGCTCAGCCCCATGCTATTTGTGTCTGCCTCCTTAGGACCACTCTGCTGCACATGTGCCAGCCTGCTTCATCCCAGCATATTTTATTCTGTCTCTCCCATACTATCCTTCCCATCAGCCCATCTGAGCTTAAGCTTGCTCCACAGTGCATCCAAGATCCAAGGGGAAAGCAGCTCTTCATCCACACCAGTGCCCTTTGGCCTGTTCCTGGAATGCTGAAGTCCCCATGTCCACTCTCCTGGATGATGTAAGGCTGTGGGGAGAGATCTGCCGGTTCCTGAGTCCCCAGCCTTATTTATAACAGGTTCTGATGCTCAGATGGAGCTGGGCTGCCAAAATACCTTTCTGGACCCTGCCCTCAGGAGGACCGTGCTTTTATAAGCCACCAGAGGGGACACTGGAGTCTCCTTTGGCTCTGATGTTCCCTTAAACTCCCATGGGGTAGGTCACCTGGCAGGGGCTTTATCTGCTTTTGGGTCACTGTGGGTCTCCCCACCAAGTCCCTTTCTGCTTTCATCCTCAGGTCGGCCCATTCAGGCCAGGTGTCAACTACATCCCCACATTCCAGAAGGACAGGGGTCAGCCTGGCACCAACACAGCCAACCTGAGATCTAGAGGCCACCTTGTAGATGATGCCTAAAAGGGAAGACCTGGGTCTTCAGGTGGCTTCCAGACGGCTGCATGGGGTGATGGCAGTGTTAGGGAGTGTCATACGACCCACTCCCCCCGGGTTGGGAAACAAAGACTGTCATAAGTAACTGCCACCCAGAGGACGTCAAAGGAGTCCAGCCAGGCCACTCAAGTCCCCAGGAACTGTGTGAAAGGCCACCTTGGGCCTTGGCCCTAACACTAAGCATCGCTCTCTGGGCACTTGGCAGCACCTAAGGATGGTGATTCACCCAGAACAAACACCCATTTGCGCCAGACAAGGGGCAGTGAACGCGGGCTCTGTTGATCTTCCATCTGCAAACAAGCAGGACGGTGAGCTGGCAGCAACAGACCCAGAGCCGCTTCTGATCAGTGGCAGCCGCTGGCCTCCCTGACGCCAGAGGCTGCCACCCTGGTCAGCTGCCACCTGCAAACACCCTTTCCTCTGGGAATCCCAGGTTGATGCCAGGGTCAGAGATGCCACCAAACACTCTGGGATGCAGAGGACAGGGTGGTCCAACATGGCCATGGCATCAAAATGGTACATGACCCACTCCAGTCTCCAAGGCCCAGAAAATACAGGCAACACTATGCTGGGATTTTACAAATTTTATTTCTAGACTTTTTATGTCTTTTTTTTTTTTTTTTTTTCTGGACCATGCTGGTCACATGTCCGTGCTGGGAAGCGCCATGGTGTGTCAACCAGAAATACATAAACCCAACCTGGCCACCAGCCAGAGCCCCTCAAAGCCTTTCATGTCACAGGGCAGACTCCGTGGACCCACCACCAGCCTTTGGCCTTTTGGCCAAACCCTCACCCATCACCATGAACCCAGGGGCCCTGCCTGGTTCAGATGCCTCAGCTAGGCTGGTGGTGACCGTGGAGGTGACCATTTTGGTTTGGCAGCTAGCTAGGGAATTTGGAGGCCCGCAGCACTGGGGCTGGCTTTGCCAAGGCTGAAGTCTTTAAATTAGCACAATGCTGTAATTAACACAAAACAAAACAACAGAACACTAGAACCTAACAGAATAAATGATGCACCGGAGACTCAGAACAAATTCCTCCGGGCCCAGCAGCATGGTGGCATGCACAACAGGCCGCTACAAATATAACAATATTGATAATTAACAAAGAAAAATAGAGTTGTCCCGACTGCTGTGATGCTATATGTCCCAGATCAAATGAAGGGCCCAGCGTGACAGGTGCAGGGGGATGATCCCCATCAGACCAGTCCCAGGGTCTCTGTAGGCAGATCACCTGCCTGCTAGGCCCGTACATGGCTAGGTGAAACATGAGGTATTGTGAACAGGAACCTGTTTTTTTTTTGGAATACAGCGGTAATCACATTAAGCCAAAATTGATCACAATTTAAAAAGTACAAAAAAAAAAAAAAAGGGCATCTGTAAATACAATCTATGAGGAAATTAAAACTTGAACATGGCAGTCTATGACATTGTAAAAAAACAAAACAAAACAAAACTGACCCTCCAATAGCAGCGAAAACAATGTGAAAGATACAGAGCGACGCGAATCTGGTTCTGAACGTCTGGGATGTTGGGAGTCATTGGTAGCAGCGCTGTGTGGAAGGAGCTGCAGCCTGTCCCGTGTGGTCCCTACCCTCCACACTTCCTCCCTCCAGTCCTCTCTCCCGCCTCCCTCTCGTCACCTCCCTTCAACACTTCCTAAATAGAAAAGCACAGAGCCAAGGTGTACAAATTACCTACTGTTGTGGGGGTGGGGGCAAGAATGTGCCGGAATTAAACTCCTTTGGGATCCCCTGTTTCCCTCAGTTTGGATGGCTCTCCAATGGGGTCGTTGGGGTTTGGAAAGTTAAGCAAACCGAATGCCCGTCCTTATATGGTTTTTGAGGATCTGCTCTCCCCCCACCCCCAATAAAAGACCAATCTCTCAGACATGGCATTGAACCTTCGCCAGCAAGGGCGGAAGGTGTGCTCTTGAATCAAGGGAAATCACATTGCTTTAAAAATCACACTGGCCATGGGCAGCCTTTCCAATAAATACTCTTCTGTAACCTTAAGTATAAATTAGACATTTTAGTGTTTAAAAGCCTCCTATGTGAAAGACTTCCAGAATCTCCTCCTCCAAGTAATGCTACCACAGTTCCTACTTCCAAACACCAGCCGGCACCAAAGGATCCCTTCAATCCAACTTCTCTGTAGGACAGATCCTGGTGGTGCAAGAACAGAGTTCTCTCTTCTTGACCCAACAAAACTTCCCAAGCACCCCATGCGACCAGCCCCACCACGCCACACATCCATTGTGCGGCCATCTGAATGAGTGTGTGTGGCTATCCCAACCATCCCATTAGGAACCAACCCCACCCCATCCCCACCCCAGCAACACTGCCTCCAGCTAGCTGACCGAAAGTGCTTTGAAATGGAATGGTTTTGGAACAGAAGGAAAACACAACAAAACAGAACAAACCATACACACAAAAGAAAAGCTGTGGGTTTAACCTGATGTGAGTGGGCTGCAGGGCCGCCAGGCAAAAACCAGCAGCTCCTTAAACAGGAACTACAAAATAGGAAGATTACAAAAATAGAACATATGATGTCGCTGTCTCAGGCCCTCTCCACTGGAGCACACTGCCTACCTAGAGTGGGACGCCTACTGCCGTGTGGCCGGCACTGTGAACCTGCAGGCTGGGAGAGGGCACAGATGAGCCCTGGTGCCACACGCCGTGAGACCGCTAGAGGTCGCAGCGGCCATCACATCAGTAAGGTGAAGAGGTCGCCCCATCCCTGGGACAAAGCACAGGAAACAGGTGACAGGCTGCACTGAGCAAGCAGGGAGAGAGGCTGAGGACCGCGCCAAAGCTGTGCCTTTCAGCAAAGCGAGTACGTCTCTACCTAAAACTCCCTTCTACTTAACAACGGTTTTCTCTATTGGCCTTTTTTTCCTTCTTTTTTTTAAAGCAATTTTTCTTAAGCTTTTTAAACACATAAAATCAAAATCCTCTTGGAGACTTCCTCCTGTGTGTTAATCCTATTCTTACAACAGACAAGCACATTAATAGAAAACTAGTCGATTACTGGGGTATAAAATCCTAAATTGGTAGCATCCCCCTCCTCCCTACACTTAGGTGATGCAAATTCTATCTCTCTCTCTCTCTTTAACAGCTTTCAGGTATTTTTTTTTTCTCTTTTGCTTAAGTCAGATAGAAAGGAGAAAGATTAAAGAAAAACAACCAACAAAGAGAACAAAACTTCCCCTTCTGGTAACAAATGTCCCCAAGAGGGACGTCATTAGGAGCACCCCGGGCTGGCTCCTTCCTCATCGCGGGCTGCCACTACTTGGTGGCACCCGCCTGCCCGGCGGCCTTCAGATGTCCACGTCTCGCACGTCAGTGGGTGTGCAGGCCAGGTCAGTCTCTCCCTCCGCTTCCCCCTCCTCTTCGGTGGCCTTGGGATCAACGTTCTGCTGGGCTTGGCGCAGGCTAGACTCCAGAAGGGCTTCAATCTGTTCCTGGCAGGCGCGGAGGCAGTCCTGGAGAGGCGGGCGGAGATGGAGGGGGTCCTTGTTTAGCCAGAGGCTAGTGGCCAGGGCCTTGACCTGCGAGGCAGGCTTTGCTAAGGGCAAGGCTTGAAGAAACTCCTCGAGCCATCCCCAAATTCACCGAGCCGTGAGAGAGGCGCAAAGGACCAGGAAGCAAGAGCATCCATCACCTTTGGTTCCCAGCCTTCAGCCTGAAAACCTCTGTCCCGTGCCATGGGACAGTTGGCTCGCGCCTGTAGGACACTTACCTGCTTGTCCACCCCAGGTCTACCCAGCAGAAATTCCTCCCTGGGCTCCCCACAGCACTGCCTGATATATCCCCCTTGCTTCAACAGGGAGGTCCTGGGAACTCCACATTTCGGATGCAGTTTCTGTAGGTGGTTCCGGGAGGAGAACCCAGCCCAGCATGAGCCCCTGTGACAGGTTCTGCATGGCCGAGGGAAAGCACCTCCACCTCTCTACGTCCCTCTTTTGGGGCTGTAGTTTGTACTCCCCACAAGGAGCACCTATCTCCCCCTCACAGCCTTCTGCCCCTGGGTGGCCTCTGAGGGAAGCCAGCTCCAGGGTCACCACTGGAGCCTGGAAAGCATTTCACCAGGAAAGAGACTCATGAACTTAAGTCCTGCCTAGCTGGGATGAGGCCAGGGCACTGCCTGCATTCCTCAAGCCAGCAGTACTTCTGCAGAACCCCTGGAGAGCCCCCACATTCAGAGCTTGCTACCCTTTTGTTTGATGGATACCGTGGCTAAGGAGGGTGGCAGGGCAAATGGCCCCATTTTACAGAAGGGGCAAACTGAGGCCCAGGTAGTTTGGTATGGACCCACAGGCACCCTTGAATCCCTCTCTGAAGCCCACGGGCTCCCACCTGCTCACATACCCTACCCTCCGTTCTCAGGAGCCCTAGATGCCGCATGCTGAGGTACACTTGAGTGGTGCAGGAAATCAGGGTCCCCGTGGCTGATGTCAGACAAGGCAGAGTCTGTCACACATGGAAGCCTTTCCGCATGCCCAGTGGCTCTGGCCTCCACTGAACCTCCAGCTGAGTCCAAGCTAGAACTGGACTTTTGTCTGTCCTTCTGGGTATGCCAGCCTGCAACGTCCTCGGGGACGCCTTCGTGGTTAGAGCTCCATCAGCCGTATTCCTCAGTGAGAAGGTATTCACATGTGGCCTAATGCACAGCCCCTCCTCCCCCCACTAAGAAAGTTCTAGAGTGTGTCTTCTGCAGGTAAAAGGTCTACACCGGAGTCCTCTCTGGACTCCACCCCCAAAGGCTGCACTGAGGGAGATGGGGTCCTACTGTAGCTGGGCCAGACTTCAGCTTTACTTGCCAATCACACCATGCCCCCGCCCCCTGCCTTTAGGATCAATGGCTTCTGGAAGCTCCCTCAACCTCAAACCTGGAAAGAGGCTAGTGAGGGAGCCCAGGTTCGGCTCCCCCTTGCAGTAGAGCCCCACCCCGGTCACACAGTGCCTTGACACTGCCCCCTCAGCAGGGTTCCCTGGCCCTTGCCAGAGGCAGCAGCCTCCCTTCCATGAGACTCACTCACCGGGTCACACTTGATCACTCTGGAAAGAAAGTGCGTTGTGCAGTAGCACGACAGGAAGTTGTTGGGGCTGCCCAGGTTCAGGCCTTGCATCGCGGCCACCACGCTCCCAGCAGCCACCATGGAGGGGGGGTTGGAAATGAACTTCACATCTGCAGCAGAGAAGGACAGAGGTCGCTGTGAGCAGGGACAGCTACAGGCCCGTGATTCAGCTCCCACCCAGTTCTCAGCGTAGCCTCAACCTGTCCTCCAAATCTCCCCAGGCGAGCATCAACTTCAGCTCCTTTGGAGACCCCTAGGTGGCGCTAGATGCACATAGTGCTCCAGGTAGGTCTGCGACCCCCAGCACTAGGGAGGATCAAGAGTGCCAGGCCAGAGCATTGGCTCAATTTTCAGTAAGGCCTTGTCTCACTTTAAAAAGCTGAGCCACTGACCCTGGCCTGGGTTCTATCCCCAGCACCTCAAGCAAACACCAGGAAGAGTAGGTCATGGCCCGCTTGTTCCTTTAAGCACTTCAAAGTTTAAGAGGGCAAAGTACAGAATCCAAGGTGCAGGCTCTTAACCCTTTAACCCAGAGCTAGCTTTCCTGGTTCACTGATGCCAGGTTAGGGAAGAGGACATGTGACCTCAGACCAAGTAAACCAGTTGGAAGTAGCCCCAGAGGGGGCTGGGAATAGTCACCCCAGAACTCCAGGCCAGGGTCCCTAGTGAAGGAAGCCTCCCTCAAGCACAGTCCTGGGGACTCTTTCATATGCACAGGCCCCAGGTGGGAGGTAAACCCCAGGGGAATGGCAGCTTTGTAGTCTGTCCCACTAGTAAATGTTGGGGTCAGGTCCCCCCACAGTGCTGCAGCAGGGTGTTACTTTAGGACTTTATCTGGGGTCACCAGCTGTCCCCCTCTGCCACCCAAATGGACTCAGCATCCGCAGTGGTGTGCCACACTGATGGAATGCCTCTCCACCAACCCCACCACTCAGCTGCTTTCCTGTCACATCCAACGAAGTGGTGACAAGGACAGCCACTCAGCCTGTGAATCGGGGGTTCCAGGCCAGAGGACACAAGAAAGAACAGGTGTCAGCACCCATTACCTCCTCTTGCGTCACCCTGGGACCAGGAACAGGGAGGCTTGAAGAAAATGAAAGGGAATCACCAGGAGAGAACGTTGTTATTGTGAGGCCCTTTGGAGACCACCCTGATACAGTCTACAGCTCTGGCTCTGTTGAAGGTCAGAGGTACCAATGCACAATGCAAGGGGCCGGGAAGAAGAGCAGCCACACCAAGGGAGACAGCACCTCCAGGTGGTACTGAGGACTCAGCTCAGTTCAGTGAACCAAACTTGCTATGGGACAAATTCAAATCAGACACCCCCTTTCCAGAGAGAAAGAAACTCCAACCAGCAGCTGGCACATGGACTGGAGTCCCCAGCCCCTTCCCAAGTGCAGTAGCATGATCCATTATGTCCTGTAAGGAGCCCTAACATCTGCTTCCTCACACTGCCTGGCTGCTGCTGGCATAGCCGTCACCCAGCTCAGTGACATGGTTGACACTCACCAACACCCTCCATTTAGCTCAGTTCCCATTGTCTGAACCCACACAAGGGTACACTCTGGCCATCTGTACATGCCTGTGTGACCAACCCCAACCTAGGTTAGTGCACTATTCACATGAGCGGGACCCAGGTCTGGGGGTATCCAGAAGGGAGAAGAAAAGTCATATCCTCCCATCTCCTGTAAGGGGAAACCTTGCCACATAGATGGCAGATCTCCCGGCCTTGACCTCTGGCCTCTTTCCAGAGCGACCTCTTTGTGACAGAAGAGCTGGTTACTCCTCCAGAGGGACAAAGCCTCCAGGCCCAGAACATTGGCCTACTGCAGTTCACCAAGCTGTGCTCTACCTCCACCTGTCTTTTGGGGGCTCTTAGTGGACCCTATCATAGACAAAGGCCATACAGTAAGTAAGCTGAGTCCAGCCACACCCACGATGCATTAATGCTTGTTGGCTTCCCTGCTAGCATCCAGGGGTCCTGGGAGGGGCACGTTGCTGCCAGAACCGTCCTGGGGAGGCTGTGCCACCCCATCCCTCATGTTATCTCGGGGAAACTCTGCAGCTTCTCCGAATCCACTTTCAGCTCCATAAAAGGCTTCCTGGAGCCTCCAAGGGCTCTGCACTCCCCAGAGGAACCCCAGCCAGACGCCTGCCTGCCAGCCAGCAGGGCCACCCCCGCCCCTTAGATCCTTCCAGGCTACTGATGGCCTTAGCATTCCCATCTGCCACCCCCCTTGCTTGGTAGGCCTCTGGAGAGGGGCTGGCACCCTCAGCAGGTAGTTGGGAGGCTAGAACCCCCAAATCTCCACATCTGGCACAGTTGTGCAGAAAACACCGGCCATGGGGGATGCCAGACATGAGAAGATGCCACAGAGATGGCAGGTAGGAGAAGACACTACCTACCCCTCTTACACCACGTTGCCTTTCGGCCGCCCTACAAGTCACCCAGCCTGAGCTCCAAACAGATGTGGCAACCCAGGCCTGATCAGGGCCACCTGGGTGGAGGGGTCCTAGGCAGGCGGGAGAGAGTGCAGCACCCCCTTAGCATCTCTAAACCTCCTCGGCGGGGCTTCCAATTAGAGATGGAGAAGCAGCTGCCAGATGTCTGTCTACCCTCAGTTAAGTCAGCCTGTCTACCTGGGGTCTGGGTACAGGGAGGGTCCCCTGGAGGAGCCATGGGGAAATTCTTGTCTCTCTGCTTCCAATCAGCCCTCCCAGGACTGCCAAAAAGAACTGGCCTGTAGCACCCCTGGGGGGGGGGGATATCTAAGCTCCTGAGCTGGTCACCCTGCATGTGGGACTGGGAATGGTATCATTTGTCCTGCCCCTGTTAAACACTCCTGGCAGGTGGCCAAGACTGGGAGACGCCAGGAGCCGCCCCTCCCTGCCCCCCATAGCTGGCTCCTTGAAGACCCACGCAGGACAGGAGGTAGGTGGGGGCAGGCAGCCCAGGAGCAGAGGCAAAACCCTTTTCAGAAAGCATGCAGTGGTCACACCGCTACCTGGTGGTGGAAAGCTTGGCACAGGGAGGCTGGGCCATCCAGTTAGGTCTCCAAGGCCCTTCAGTGTGACCCCCAGCACCATCTATTCCCAACAAGCTACCTGGACCCTGGGCTCAGAATAGAGATGAGGGAACCCCCTTTCTAGACCATCACCTGGTACAGAAAAGACAGCCAGAGGCATTAGCCAGGGAACCACAGGAGTTTGAGATCTCCCGGGAAGAGTGGGGGTGGGGCCCTACCTGTGGCACAGAGAGCCACAAAGGTTTGCGCATGCTTGCGGATGATCTGCTTGTTCTCATCCGCCTCTGGCATTTTGGAGAGGAAGTGTTCGATGAAATCGTGGGGAGTCATGGCAGCCAGGTTCCACTTGAGCTTGTTCACCAGAAGCAGTTCCATTTGCTGCAGAAAATGGAGAACGAGGTCAGTAAGACGTCAGGCCGGTTGGAGGGAGGTTTAGAGAGTGGGTTCAACCGGGCACCACAGATAGGTAAACAACAAACTATAGACAGACTAAGTGGGCCACACGCGCTAGACAAAAAGACCCCCACCGCCAGCGATGCGGCTCCAGCGCCGCAAGGGGGCGCACACCGTCCACATTTCAGAGTGGCTTCACTGCCAGACATGGTGGGCAGTCCAGGAGGAGAGGGGGGCCCAGAGGTGGAATGGGTTTGGGATTCTGCCCACTGCCACTTCAGTGTCGTGCAGTGTGGGTGACTTCCATGGGGCTGGAGATGTGTCCGAGGCTGGCTGGGCCTCCCATCATTTGCAGCTCCCACCACCCAGGGGTCGCGTAGCTAATGAGGGATGGCGGGTGGTGGGGTCCTCGGTTACCAGCAGCTCCTCGGGCCGGATAGAGTTGTCAGTGTAGATGCACAACTTCTCGGCGGTCAGGGGAATGGTCTCCTTCATCTTGGAGGCTACGAACATGCAGGCGGCCCCCAGCAGCTGCAGGCGGCTCTTCTTCAGGGGCTCCAGCGACAGGAAGCGGTCCAGGTAGTTCATGGCCAGCGGGAAGACCTCCTCTTCACACTTCTGCTCCTCGCAGACCTGCGGGGACCGGGACCATGACCGTAAACGGGGGTGGGGGGAGGGGAATGAGGGAGGAAGAGGGAGAGGGTCGTGGCTCGATGTGATCCTTCATCCCTTTCCTAGATAGATTACATAGCGAATGAGTGGTGAGGGCGCGGAGAGGGGTCGCCGTGGCACACTCCCCGGGATGCGCGGGAGCCCAGGACCCACTCACCCTGAAACTGAAAGGGAAAGTCCCTGGGCAGCTGGCGCTGGGGAGCTCAGCAGTGGTGGCCTTGGGGACCCCGGCCCATGTTGGAATTAGAAGGCCGCAGGCCAGGGAATCCCACCGCGGAGCTGGCAGGGTGCCGGGGGTTGGGCGCCGCTCGCGCACGCGAGACACAAAGGTGGCGTCCCAGGCCGCCGCGCCTCATTTCCCAGACGTCATCTTTTCAAAAAATATTTAAAAATATTAAAAAAATAACTAGGTGCCTAAAAACGGCCCGAAAATAACCATCAGGCGACCCTTGATACAACCCGAGGGTCAGGAGCTCGGTATACGTTGGAGAATGGGCCCCAGCGACTCAAACTCTGGGGGCCCCCCTTTTGCTGGGTGCGGGTGCCTCTGCAAGGGCACCATGCCGCACTTTAGAAATTATTTTAAAATATTTTGGGGCCCTCGAGCCTCCTATTGAACATCTGAAAATGTGCTTTGGTTCCCCGACTTGACCTGGGTAGGAATCCCCAAGTGCAGACCCGCGCGGACGACGGTCAATCTCTAGCGACTGGGGGGCCACGCGACCTTGCAGACTGGCGTGCTCTCTGGGCCAGGCAGCCTGTGCGGGGGGTGCCCAGGGGTCCGCTGCTTGAACAAAGGGTCCCTCCCCAAAATCCCTCGCTATGTCCTATTTAGTGATTCCTGGCTGCCGCGAGGCCCCTCGTGCCTGTCCCAGCGCCCCTGCCGCCGCTCCCCGCCCTGCCCCCAATTATTAATAAACACTTTTGCTTTGCAATAAAGGAGCAAAGATGGCGCATAATACTGGCACGAGCGGCCCTTGCATACGTGTCCACGGATATTAATTTAAAAATCAAATCTATGCCCCCTCCCCCGCGAGCTGGCGGCTACGCGCGGAGGCGGCCACGGCCGAGGCGCAACAGGAATGGGGCGCAAGCGGGGGCCACAAAAGGCGCCCAGTCCGTACCCTCTGGGGTGTCCCTGGCACCCTTTGGCACGGTCCTCCCTCGAAGGCACTCCTCCCCGACTGCCCCCCACCAGGAAAAGGAATCCCCATCACCCCAACTCCTACACTTTCCCTCAGTCACAAAGACCCGCAGTATCTATTTATTTTGAGAATCCGGATTCCTAGCAACACACCGTGTAAAACTCCGTGTCGGAAAGGAAAGGAGGAAGATGTGGGTGGGAGCAATAAGTTGCCAGGGGATCCTAAGCCCCTGTAGCCCCTTACCTCCAGCATCCAGGTGGCCACGATTTTCCGCATGGACGGCACAATCTCCCTCTGCACGCACTTGAAGTAAGACACGGAGGGCGCGCAGGTCTCCTCGGTCTTGAGCATGGCTCGCAGCACTCGGTCGTTGAGGAGGTTGGTGTCAGGGTACGCACGGCGGATGGTCTCCACTTCGCAGCACAGGAGCTGGTGTTCCATGGCGCGGCCGCCTGGGGAGGGCTGTGGACCTGGTTGGGCTCCGGTGGCTGCTGCTGGCGCGCGCTGCCTCGCGCTCTACTGCCGGTCTCCGGAGCGCGGAGTCTGCTGCTCTCTGCTACTGCGCCGACAGCCCTCTGGAGGCTGCAGGACTTTGCAACTTCAACAAAACTCCCCTGTAGTCCGTGTGACGTTACTGTTGTTAAGCAGAGATCAAAGTTAAGCAGAGAAAGGGAGGGGTGAGGGGGGAAGGCCGGGGCGGGCGCAGGGGGAGGGGGCTCGGGAGCTGCGAGCCGCAAGGGGACAAGCCCAAAGCACCCCCCCTCGACCTTCGTAGATATGCAAATCGCTCGGACTGCTTCTCTCCAAGCTGGGAAAGAGCGGTGCAAGGGTGGTGGTGGGGGTGTCTTCTTTGCCCAAGTGGGTCCTTCGAGACCTGTGGAGGTGGGGTGGTGCTGGCTCTGGACAGGACAGCTAGGAGGGAGGCCAGGCCACACACAAGCCAGGGAAGACTTGGATGGGGGATCCTGGGGACGAAAGGACACCCTATATTCAATCCGGGAGAATGGGCACGTTTCCGAGGACGCCACGAGGGCACCCACGGGCGGACTGACTGCTTAAAAATCCCGGCGTTCCTATCTTCTTTCAATTTCATCAACACGTGTAAAACTCGGGAACTGTTTAACACGTGAAGATGCCGGACGAGCCCTAAGCTCCGGTGCATGCTCCATCCTGGTTCTCTGGGGGTCGTTGCAAAGGGCCAGAGATGTAGCTCTGAACTTCAAAGGCTCCCCAGCCTAGCATGCGCTCGCTCAAAAATAAAATAAAATCTCGAAAATCCCCAGCAACAGCTCAAGATGGTGGCCATTATTTCCTTCATCCATTCCTCACCGAGGGGGAATCTTCGATTTGCCTTCCCACGGTGACCAGCTCATTCTGTCCAGGGTCCTCCAGTGCGGGCGATTTACCCAAGAAAAATAAACCTTTTAAGGAAAGGCTGATACATGATGGGCTCTTTCCTAATTTATTTTTTAATTAAGAAAACTAAATCGGTGCAAGTATTAGTCGCCTTGCCAGGAACCAGACCACCGGAAGCTTTCCGATTGGCTTTGTTGGGGGTGTGGCCGTCCCTCCACCTTTAGAACTGCTGCCGGGGCCTCATCCTTGAGTTCCTGGGGGGCTAGTCAGAATCAAGACAAATGTGTGCGTGGATATGACATTTAAGAAAACTTATGGATGTCCGTGGTTACACGAGTGGATTCCCAAGCGTCTCTAACATTTAGTCAAATAAAAGTTTTTAGGATGAAGGAGTTCCACCACCTTGACCCATTTAATCCCCTTGTCTTTAAAGTTTTCACAATCCCGACCTCAAGTCAGGCGAACTATTCACATATTTTCCCATAATAGTCTGGTGTCCCCAAGAGTGAATGGGTGAAACTGGAAAAGGAGAGCGGGGGGTGGGGGGAGAGGCTACACGCAAGAAGTGGACCCCCTTATCTTCGGAGCGCATTCCTCCCGATCCCCCTCCCCTGACATTGGGGTCCCTAATATCTAGATCCTGTGGGACAGTGATCCCATTGCGGCTCTGAAGGTGGTGGGTGGCCCGGGCAGTGCGCCCACGCTTGCTCGGGCCACAGGCCCCGCCAAGCCTGGGAGCTTCAGCCTGAGCACGAGGGCGGCCCAGCTGCCTTTTCATTCATAAAATCCCTACCGGGCGGCAGTAACCATGATTTATGGGGCTGCGCACTATCACCCGCGGCTGAGTGCCTGTGAGCGGAGCACGCGGGCCTGGCCAGGGTGCGCCAACGAGGGCAGCGGGGCATAAAGAGGCTCGCCCACCCGGCAGCACGAGCTCGGGACCCGCAGCCAGCACCCCCACCACCACCACCGCGGGAAAGACCAGGAAACTGGAATTAGCATGAGCCAATCCGGACGCAGCGCTGTTACTAGGCGGACCGGGCAGATCTCCACGAGGAACTTCGTTGATCAGTGCGCTCAGGGACGGGCGCAAAAGTGCAAGTCCGGTTGGCGGGCGTGCAGAGCCGTCCAGGAACCCGTGGGGGAGGCGCAGGAATTTGGGACCCGGTGGGGAGCGCCCATCCCCCATCCGGGGAACCCCGCTCGGCCAGCTCCGGAGCCCTGGAAGGGGACATCAGTTCAGGGTTCTTTCCGGGCCAGTTGTTTTAAGAATCTCAGAGAAAGCTTTTGGATTTTTAATTTTTATTTCCCAACGAAAAAGTAATTCAGCACACACTTTTCTCTTGTGATTTTAACTTCTACATTGGCAAAAAAAAAACACCCAACCAAACAAAAAAAACACCACCTCAAAGCAGGAATTGCACGCTCTGGGCTCACTTAAAGTGCTCTGCGCTTATTTTCGGTAACCTTTTGGAGACAAAAGGCCACTCGACCAATCGAGAAGGGACTACGTTATTTGGAAAGGAAATTTCAAAGTAACTTTAATCTCCTTTCCGACTTCCTCCCTCCTCGACCCCTCGCCCCGGGCCAGGGTTCCCGAGAGAGCGCGGACTCTGCGGTAGACTTGCCACCGTCCCTGGCTGTGGGAACTTCATTGAGAGGGGGAAGGGAGCATGTTCATTGAGGAACCCGCGCCGCCTAGCTCGGGGCTCTGATCGGGAGGTGTGGAGCTGGGCCGCAATCCTGAGCCTCTGGCAGCAGCCCCTTAGGGAAAGGAATTGGCAGTGAGCAGACGCACCTAGGTGGGGTCACCTGCATCCAAATACCTGGCGAAAACTTGAAAGGATTCCGTTGCTTCTGTTCCAGTTAGCCATTGTTAATTTAGCCTTTAAGTCGCCTTGGGAAACGCTTCCGAATATTGGCCCCAAGGTTCCGGCACAATGCGGCTCTCCTCCCTACACCCTGCAGGCGTTTTGGGGCGTGCATGGCAGCCCACGTGCTACGCGGCTGCTCCACCTAGGTTACCCTGAGCTGATCCCAGGCACCCTTAAGCTAAGGAGGGGTGTGTATGCTCAGCTCATCCTGTGCACACCTGAGGCGGCCGTATCCCATTTTCCGGAGCTTGCATTTCCGAGTTAGTTTCAGTCCCCCATATCCAACCCCCAGAGCGAAGCTCCCAGCGCCGGGGAATTAGCTCTGGAGTGGCCAGGCTGGCTCTAGGGACCCCGAGGGTGGAGCTGTAACTTTAGGGAGGGGTGGCTACTCGGTTGGTCTCCAGCTCTCCGAACGCATCAGATGCCCCGAGCAGTCCGAACCCCTAAGTCCTTTTGGGATTTGTCGACTTTATTGCTCTGGCCCACGTCTCGTCCCAGACTAAATGGTGGGGAGCAGGCACCCAGGTGGAGAAGAAAACCCTAACAATCGGGCCAGTGTGAGCTACCTGTGGTCAGGCAGGACCACGTGGCCCAATCGAGGGTGAGCAAGCCCTACGGCCTGGGGCTGCTGGAGCTGGGGGCACCGCGCCTCGGGCATTGGTTCCTCTGCACCCCGAAGGTGGTCAGGGGGGAGAGCCTCCCTGGCCTGCTTCCTGCAAAACCTAGGCGTCTCCATTCTTCACTTAGGCCAGTGGGGGACAGTGAGGGCTTTAGAGTTCTGCGGGTTCCAGATCTCGGGACACCGGCTGTGGCGGGGCCCGAACAGGAAGGGTAAATTTAGCTCCAGGTTCTCGAAAAGGCCGTCTAGCTTCACATGCTGAGCCCCCCCCCCCCCCCGGGGTCCCTGCTCCCTGTGGTGCTTGGTGGGAGGGCACGCGGGCGGACCCCGGGCTGGGTTCCGCGGTCCCCCGGGGTCACGGCTGGAAGCGCGCAAGGCCGCACCGCGCATTCCGCGCATTCCCGCCCGGCCGGTGTTTCGCCGCCACGTGGTCGTCCTGCGCGCCGCGCTTACCGTAAAGTTTGGAGGCGACGCGCAACAGTGGCTCGCGAGCGCCTGTGGAGGCGCCCCGGAGGCGAGCTGTAGATGTGCGCTTCCACAGAGGCGCCTAACTCGGGGCGCCCCCGCTGGGTAGGTGCCCTTCCACGTTTATGGCTCCGCTGGTATGTGTGATAAGGTGACTGACTGACCATCTAAGGACCTGGACTGGTGGTGACTGACCGAGGAAGAAGCCCTAGAGGAGCTGCAGCCTTTGCTTCCGAAAGTTGAATTTTCATCATTCTTCCAAGTTAGTTGGGGCTCAGGCCAAGGCCGTGTTGTCAGGAGGCTCCAACGGAGGGTGCGTAGCAAACAGAGAAGTGTCCATAAACCTGTTATAACTTTTTTTTTTTTAAATGAGTTAGAGTGAAGTTGGATAGATGGCTCAGAGCTTCAGAGTGCTTGCTGATTTTCCAGAGGACAGGATTCAGTTCCTAGCACCCACATCAGGCGGCTTCCAGCCACCTGTAACTCCAGCTCCAGGAGATCCTACTGGACTCTGGGGGTACCTGCACTCGTACATGCACATAGATACACACACTAATAAACACACACACACACACACACACACACACACAAACAAACAAATAAATAAATAGAATTTAAAGGTAAGATTCAGTCCACAGAGGAATGACAGGTTCTGGCCTTAACCAATGGGATGGATGCCTGCCTTGGCCACATCAAATTCAGGGAGTAGTTGGACCCTGTAATGGTTAGTTTTAATTGTCAACCTGACACAGCCTTGAATCACCTGGTTAGAGCGTCTCAAGAAGGCCTGTGGACATGGTTGTGGGTGATTGTCTTGGTTGGCTTAATTGATGTGGGAAGACCCAGTGTGGAAATGGGGAGCAAATTCCCAAGGCTTGGGTCCTGGGCTGAGTAAGAGTGAGAAAGATAACTGAGCACCCATGCATTCGCATCTCACTGCTTTTGGTGGATGTCATGTGGCCGGTGGCTTCAGGTTCCTGCCACATTGATTTTCCTGCAATAATGGACTGTAAACCTGGAATTCTGAGCCCGAATAAGCCTCTTCTGCCCCCTAAGCGGCTTTTTGCCATGGTATTTTATCACAGAAGTAGAAATGAAGCCGAGACAGGCCTACTGGGAACATGTCTGGTTTGTGACACCCCAGAGTCCTATAGGGGTCAGAGATTTTGAGACCTCTCTCTCGGATCATCCCTCAACCCCTGCTTTGCCAGATGGCTTCTTTTGCCATCAGGAACAGGGCAGAAGCTGCTAGTGGACCCCGGGGGCCTCCTGTGTGCCCCCAATGTAGCTCTAGATGAGATGGGTTCC